TCCATTGCATCAATTCTACCCTTCTGCCCTTCCAATGTGTTATCTATTTCTAGTAATTTAGTGTTAGTCTTCTGGATTTCTGTCTGTAGATTTAGAATCATTTGTAATTTTTCACTTATTTTGTCATTTTGTTCTTGTATTTTCTTCCAAAATTCTTCTAATGTTTTCTCTTTGTTTTCTCTGGTCTGTCTCTCAATCCTTTGGAGATACCTAAGGATAATTCTTTTGAATTCGTTATCAGAGAGCTCCAATGCTGCTTCTTCCTCAGGGATGTGTCTGAGTCTGTATCCTGTTCCCTTGTTTCTACTACTTTATCTTGCTTCTTTGTGTGGACTGTGATGGTCTGTTGTCTCCCAGGCATCATGGTATTGTATTAAGATCTCTGTTAACTGTTTGTGAAGAGCAGCCAAGGCTGGTTCAGGCTCTTCTTGGTGGTTTTTTATCGTTGGCCTGTTGGTGGAGAAGGAGGTGCTGGCTCTTGCTCAGTAAGTGAAGTTGCAGGAGGTGTGGGTGTACTTGTATGTTATGGGAACTGTTTCTGTCTCCCAGTCAGTTAGTTAAAAATTACAATTGAATAACCATCAAAAAAAACTACAAGCACATGGACAAAAATTACACCCTGAAATCACACAGGACCAGTAACCCCCCAAAAAATGGAAAGGGGAGAAAAGAAGAAGAAAACAGGTAAATCTGCAATATCTGGTGATAGGTCACTGAGAGGAAAAAGGCAGAGAAGGAGAATAATGAAGAAAGAAAGCAAACAAACAAACAATACAAACCAAAAAGAAAAAAAAAAGCAAAAACAAAACAAAAAACCCAATAAGGGATGGGGTTAACCACAAATGAGAGAGAAAAAAAAAGAAAAGGTGTAAACTAGGTCCTTTTCAGTTGTGCAGTGCAGGTCCAGAGAGTTCTTGGGGTTACTGGAAGGCAAAACCTCTTCTTAAGCCCTTGGAATCTGGTAGAGCACTGTCTCTAAGTTGTCTATAGCTGCTGGTTACATGTTGATTTGTTTTGTCTTGGTTTTATGGTTTAATATTTTGAAAAGGTGAAGCTGGTGTGTTTCATTTTATTATTGATTCAGGTGTGTTGAGTCGCTCTGCTGTTTTCTTTGTGATGGTAGAATCACTGTGTGTAGTGTGGATAAGTGTTTCTGTTTTTCGTAAAGAGGGTTTAGAGTTCGAAGTGGAAGGGGTTATGATAATTGGTTGAATATGGTTTCTTCTATTGAATGAGTGAAGTTGTTGGCAGAGAAGGTGGGAACAGAAGAAGGATAGCTTGGTGTTGTTAGGGTTGGTTTCTAGGCCTTTGAGCAGGCTATTATTGATGATATATTTATTTGCAAGACCGCGGCTCAACCTCTGGGAAGATTTCTATTGTTAGGGTGTCGCAACTTTCTGCCAATTTCAGGCACACTCAAAGACCCTGCCTCCGTGGCCCCACAGTGCCAAAGAACGGTCCAAGGCAAAATTCCCGGGACTGTGGTTTCCCCTCTCCCTTTCCTGTCTGCCCGTGATGCTGACACAATCCCGCCATACTGGTAATGGCCGGCTCTGGAGTTTGTCTGTGATACTGCCCACCTGCGGCGCCAAAGATGTGTGCAATTTCAGATGTGTTGGAGTCGGGGGCTTACCTGCTAGTGACCTGCAGTCCTGATCTCTGTGACAAAGAAAAGCACGATGTCTCCCAGTCTGACCCCAGCCCACTCTGTGACCCGCTGGGAGGGGAGGGAGCTAGCCTTCCTGTTGCAACAGTGAGTTCTCCGCTGCATCTCAGCGGAGGTGCCCGTGCCCGCCAACACCCAGATGATCCCAAATTACCAACAAAATCAGCTGCTGGAGACAGGTCTCTGCCTCTGTGCACTGGAGTATTAGAGTGGTCACTGATATGCTATTATAAGGTGTCCTCTTTCTTGGCTTGGGGATCTCAGGCAGCCGCCCTTGCCCAGCAGACAGTGACTGCCCCAGGAAAGTTTCCAATGCCTCTCTCAGGTGTCCGTCCGTCCTCTGCCAGCAGCTCTTTCCTAAATAATCTCCCTGTGCCTTTCCTCTAATTCTGCTCTTCTGTGTTTGGTGCACTCTGATTCAGTGAGCTGTTCAGAGCACCAAAGTTCCTAATTCAAACTGTTGTCCCTAGTTTTTCAAGACCTTAGATGTCAGAGGGAAAAAGTGTGCTGCTCACTGGCGAGACTCCATTTTGAATCCCGTCAATGATTACTTTTAACTAATAATGTTTTTAGTTGTTTTCTGTATATATATTTCTGTTGTCTACTCAATTATATCCCAAAGTCCTCAAGATACAATATTTTCTCTTTCCTTGCTGTCTCATCGTACCTGGTATAGCACTGTGCCTGGTGTTGGAGCTTAATAAATGTTTTTGGAAGGAAATGAAGTGCTTGGCAAGAAAGCTTAGTCAGTGTGTGAAATACCCATTCCTGCTGCTCCATGCAGGTGAAGTCCTGACAAATATTTTTGAATGATGAGAATGGCAACTTAGGGTTTTCTCTAAAGTTCAGTGGTATACTTAGATTTTTTTTTAACTGACCACAAACTGTGATGAGATGACAGGTGAATGCGCATCTCAGCCAATCTCCCCCCAAGATCTGGCCCCCATAGTAAAACCAGCTTCCTTCTCTTGCAGAGTTAACTCTCTTTGTCATCTCACTTTTCCAGGTGCATCGAATGCTCATGATTTCTACATCTGCTCTCACCTGCATTGCTTTTGTTCTGCCTTTTATATACAGAGCGGGCTGGAGTTCTGTAAGTATAGACTATATAGGATGTTATTATATAAATCCATTTTATGTGAAAGCAGATTGCTGTGTTAATCTCCTTCTTTCATTTTGAATCCTCTGATGATTGTTTCACATGGTTGGGTCTTAGGAACAGGGAGGGTGAGGGGTAGTGAAAATGTCAGTGCAGAGATTTTTTGGTATTTTTAGGCTGTGTCAAAATGTTATGCCCACAATATAGTTTTAGCCAGTTTTTCTATTACATTGCTAATTGTTGAGTTGATTTTGACTTATGGTGACCACCCATGTGCAGGGTAGAATTGCTGTATACGATTTTCAAGACTGTGGCCATTTGGAAGCCAATTTGCAGGCCTACTTTTGAGACATCTCTGGGTAGATTTGAACCTCCAACCTTTTAGCTAGTAGTCTACTGCTTAACTATTTATGTCATCCAGGCCTCTTCTTTTCTCCTATAAGGTGGTGAAAATGCGAAGTGTGATGTCTAAGCTATATGAACTATGCAAATTGTCTGTCTAGTACTATGGTTATCACATGTTAGTTGCATGCCTACAATGTGACTGGCTGTGCTAATTGCTTTAGATATGTAATCAAACTAAACCTCAAATGAAGTAGGTACTAATAATAGTTCCATGTCACAAATGAAGAAACTGTGGCTCACTCCCAAATGTTTATGTCTAGCTCAGCTCTCTCTTCTGGCTTTAGACTCATACACCCAGTTGGCCTCTCAGGAGCTCTACTTGCACATCCATTTGACATCTCAGACTTAACATGTCCACAATGGAATTCCTGATCTTTCCTTCTAGTCCTACTCTACATGCTGTCATCCCTATATTAGCTACTGGCAGCTCCATCTTTAGGCCAAATGTTAGGATTTTCTTTAATTCCCCTCTCATACACCTCATACACAATCAGGAAATCCTGTTGGTTCTACTGATGCGACTACCTAGAGTTCAGCCAGCATCATATTTTACTAAGGCTATTGTAGTAGCCACCTAACTGATCTCCTCACTTACATTCTTGTTCATCTACAATCTATTTTTCAACAAAGAAGGCAGAATAGTTTTTTAAAAAATGCAACTGAAATCATGTCATTCCTGTGCCCCAAACTGGTTTCTCAAATATCTCCCAGTTTCACTCAGAGTAAAAACCACTGGTCTTACAATGGCCAAATGATTTGGCTTCCAGTTACATCTTTGAACTCATCTCTTCCTACTCTCCCTCTAGTTTATCTCATTCTGTACTGGCCTCCTTTCTGGTTTGCAAATGTGCTAGGGTTCTGCTTTATAGTCTTTGTAAGATTCTTGTTTCCACCTGGGACATGCTTCCTCTACTTCCTTACCTTCTTCAAGTCTTCACTCATATAATATCTTCTCAGTGAGTCCTACCTTAGTCTTTTTTTTCCTCATAACACTCTTCATTTTACATCATATCATATCATATCACATCATGTATATCATATCATTTATTTGTTTTCTCTTTGTCTGCCTTTCCACACTACTATGTAAACTCCTTGAGAGCTGGCATATTTATTTGGTGTGTTCACTGATATATCCCAAGCACCCAGAACAGAATGATACATAGTAGGTACTCAGTAAATATTTATTGAGGGAATGAATAAGGTTATCAAGAATAAGTGATATACTTAAGGTCAAGACCTGTGCTTCCATTATACTCTTCCAGTCTTACAGCCATTCAGAATTTGATGCCAAAATTTAATATTTCAGAGGTTAGACTGCTGTAAGGATTAAGATGGATGAATTTTGAATGACAGATATTACTAGGACACATCCCTCCTGCTTTTTTAGGTAGTTTATCTATTAAAAAAAAAAAACAAAAACAAAAAAACTCAGTGTCATTGAATCATTTCCAACTCAGAGACCCCTCCTTGGGTTTCTGAGGCAGTATCTCTATGGAAGTAGATTGCCAAATCTTCCTTCTGAGAGTTTATCTATAGGTCAACCTATTTTTTGAAAAGGAAATTATGAAGACTTTCTGATATGAATTGAGACATTGGAAGCTTATTTGGTCATTTGGGGCAAGAGTAACACTTATCTTATGAACTTTGTAGTTTACCAACAAGTGTTTGTATTTTGTGAGTAGAATATTATAAATGCTAAAAGTGTAATTCAAGGGCCAGACTGCTTGGGTTAAAATCCTGACATCATCTATTATTATCTGGGACATCTTAGGCAAGTTACGTAGCTCCTCTGCCCCTTGGTTTACTCATTTGTAAATTGAGAATAATATAATAGCTACCTTATAGGCTTTCTGTAAGGATTGAGAGTTAATAAACTTAAAGCATTTAGAATAATTCCCAGCACATATTAGTGCATATAAAAGTTTTGTTTTTGTTGCTATTGCTATATTTTTTTATTAGATAGAGGAACTTTCTATCTCCAGAGGTTATCATTTAACCTGTGTATAACTGAGTCAATGGTTTGAAAGTGCTTTTACAGTGCTCTTTTGTCAGCCTTTAGTTCCTATTTACACAGGCTTCCTATCAGGTCTTAGATACCACCGTGTTTCTGTTCTAGATCACAGATCTAGAGTCTCACCATGTCTGGGAATCAGTGACAACAGGCTGGGGTAGACTATTTCTCCATCTAAACATGTCACAGGGCAGAGCATCTTCTTAGTCCTTCCCTTAAGTTCTTAAGTAAAATCAGTGTGCAAAGTGCTCTAATCCACCTGTCCACTGTTTTGAGCAGGCATACAAAATAACAGAGAAGTATAGCAAAAACTGTTGAGATACTGTGTTAATGTTTTTCTTGGATTAGACCTTTATTCTGAACAGGGGAGATATGATTTTAATATAGTGGCTACAGAGTTATTCATTTAATCAGCAAATGTTTCTTGAGTGACTAAGACTTTGTTAAGAACTGGGGTAATCAGGAGTCATAGAGAACCTGCAGCTCAGGGAAGCACAGAGATCTAAACAAGTGATTACAACACATTGGGATGATTCCTCTTGACATATGAATGGCTGTCATGGTGTTGGTGATCGTCTAACCTCTTGATGGAGAAGAAGCAGCATTCTGTACATGGATTCCACCATGCCACTTACTTGCTGTGTGGCCTTGGACACACTCTTTGATATCTCTGAACCCTAGTTCTCCCATTTGTAAAATTAGGATATTGATAACCAACTATCAAGCACTGTAGTGAGGCTTAATGATAATGCTTGTAAAGTGTGTGCCTGGTAAAAAGTAGACTGTCAATGATTGGTGTCTGTTATTATTAAATATTTAAAGCAATGGAAAAACATTGAAAAATTAAAAAAGTATGTATTTTTAACTTGAGGGTTTAAATTAATGTGAAAGATTGAGACCATAAAATGATGTACTTTTGTTTAGAATGCAGGTTATCACCCATACCTTGGTTGCATAGTGATGACGTTAGCAGTTCTTCAGCCTCTTCTGGCAGCCTTCAGGCCACCTATACATGACCCAAGGTATTATACCTTTTATTTATAAATGTTCTTAATGTGGATGTCATAAATTGGCAGACTCTCTTCTCAATTAGTGGACAAAAATTGTAAAATTCAGTGACTAATTTTATTTTTTATGAAATACTTTAAAATGTATTTCAGTCACAGGGAATAGGGGAAGCAGCAGCACTTTTTATTCTCTTGGGAATTAATTGTAATTCTCTTACTTTTAAGGATATTGACTGATTCTTTATTTTGGTAGAAGGCAAATGTTTAACTGGACTCATTGGAGTATGGGAACAGCTGCAAGAATAATAGCAGGTAAGTAATTGCGATGCCACTTATTCATATATAATTGCTGGATGTTTGTATTACACGTTGTAATTTGGCTTAAATGATTTTTAGATGCATTAGTAATTGGAGTAATTGGTTGTTGAGGAGAAATCAGCCTTAAACACTGAAATCCGGAAAGTAATTTCTGGAGGTAACTATTTAAGTCATTATTTCAGTTTTAAGTTTAAGGTTTTTAAAATGTCTTTAAACTCTCCTCTTAAGAATTTTTAGCATTTGTGTTTGCCAGAAGAATAAGCTATGCTGATGCCAAACATTTGAGTGGGTTATTTGCCAGTTGGGCTGAGGAGGGCTGTCAGGTCTAAGCCCTCCTTCCTTTCTATTTAGCTTGTGCCTTCCAGGCTTGGATGGTTTTCAAAAGTCAAGCATGACTGTCCAATAAATTCTGATACTTTATGCAATAAAGTATACCTAAGCTGGCAGCTTCTACCCTAATATTTCTGTAGTCTATGGAGATTCTTCTTGGATAGAGGATTATGAGCAGCAGTAGTTCCTATACTTTTCTCCCTTCCTCCATTGCAGCTTAGAACTTTTTGGGAAGGCCGGGTACTTCTCTTTTAACAGTTGGTTGGACATAATGTCAGTTTCCCATCTTACTGTATATAACTCACTGCTGTTGTGTCGATTCGACTCAAAGCGACCCTTCCTTGGGTTTCTGAGATGGTATTTCTACGGAAGTAGATTGCCCGATCTTCCATCTGAGGGGTGGCTGGCGGGTTTGAACCGCCGGCCTTCTGGTTTGTAGTCAGATGCCTTAGGCACTACATAGTCTTTTAATTAAAAAAAGGCTAAATTAGCTCTTGTCCTGAATATGAATCTTATTCATCTAATAAGCTCCTTTAATATGTTGTCTTGATAAACACTCAAACACGCACACACCTACTGGTGGGATTATATTTAAATATACAACATATATTTGTTGTTGTTGTTATTTGCCGTCGAGTCGGCCCTGACTCATAGCGACCCCTCCTTGGGTTTCCCAGGCAGTTATCACTACGGAAGTAGGATTGCCCAACCTTCCTTCCGAGGAGTGGCTGGTGGGTTTGAACCGTCAGCCTCCTGGTTAGCAGTCAAGTGCCTTAGGCACTATGCTACCAGAGCTCCCAACATATATTTAAATATGTTTTGAACTTAGTGGCAGCAATGTTCCTTGGAATGGATTTACCTGGACTGAATCTTCCTGAACCACGGAAAACCTATGCAATGATTGGATTTGTAGCCTGGCATGTTGGAATTGAGATGGTTCTGGAGATACATGCTTACCGACTCACTCGGAAAGGTAACCTTCCCTAAAAGACATGTTATATAGAATCACTTTTATATAAATATGGAATATAATTTAATTGTTTTCTGATACAAATGGTTGAATGTTACATGATAGTTCAATAAACATCTCTGTTGTGATTACTCAACCAGTGTTAGAATTGTGCAATGTTTCTGCCTCTGTTCTTTAATTCATTTATATGGAATTTGTGAGTAAAATAAAAAAGAAAATTTTTAGGGAAGAAGTCTTTCCAAGTGCTTCTTTTTTTATGTGCTGGTCTGAGTTGGAGGCAGGACACACTAAAAACCGTGACTGCCTAGAGCAGAGGGAACCCTGAGATGGGAGAAGAAGAGATATTCAAAGTCAGCCTAGGGTAGAGCTGCAGGCATATTTTACCTATTTGGCAAAGTTATTATGGGCTGTCACTTAGGTTGCCATATACATAGATATATAGGTAGCTAGTTAGCTAGGCTGGCTAGGAAGGACCTATTTTGCCTGTATTCTCTAGCAGCAGGGTCATTTTTGGTCTTAGTGCCAGGTGGGGCAAAGATTCCATAGCCCCATAATGAGTGGAGAGCAGAGAATAGGTGATGTTATTAACTAGCTTGTATTCTGAGTAAGTTCTTCTGGGTCCTATTTAGTTTTCAGTCAAGATGGTAAATGGTATGGGCAGTGCCCTGTATAGCCTGTGTCAAATCATAGAAATATTTTCCAGTACTTTTCATTTGTAATGGTTGATGGAGACTTTTCTTTTCCTAAATTATCTCCCTTTCTTGTTTTTTTAACTATGGAAAGATAGACTGAAGAATAAGAACTCAGGACGATATCTACATGATATTTTTTCCTCCCAATTATTTGTCAGCCTTGCATTTTCTAGCCACTTCCTTCCACTAGGTAGAAAAGTATCTTACTGCTATCTCAACTCAGTCAAATAACTTTACAGTCAATTCTGGTTTAAAATCTAGTCCCATCTGGTTCTAAGTAATCTCAAGACTTCTTTCCCTTTGAGGATGGGTGAGCTTACCATAGGTCAGGCATTTTCTAAGCACTTTACACAAAAATTCAATTTTTACACAAAAATTCAGTTAATGCATACAACATCCCTAGCTACTATTACTATCCCATGTATAGACAGGGAAAGGCACAGAGGGGTTAAGTAATTTACTAAGGTCACCCAGTTCAAAATAATAATAATAATAATAAAAGTAAATGATAAATGAAGGTATCCTCTAAAAACAAAAACTCTTTGTGGTCGAGTGTACATCTGAACCCCCAGGAGTAGGAGAATACTTGTACTACATGAGTAAGAAATAGCAGCTCTACTATTTTTGTTTTTTTGATAGGGTTACATATTTGTGGCTTTTGATGACCAATGGATTATGGCTTGCTGTTCAAAATATGTATATACTTAAAATTTGGATAGCTGGGATTGGTGTGGTATTAATTGACTATAAGAAGAGAGCATATTTCCCTTGACAAGTGTGTGCTGAGTTGGCTTGTTCCATTTAGTGACAACCATAAATAATTCAGGAATTATATAACAGTAGGGGGCTTGAAAGTGGCCATAGTTGGCAAGTTTATACCCTGGAGATTGGCAAATGCTACAGATAAGGTTTTTTTTTCACCTGGATACCACTGGCATAAATTTTTGTTGTTCTTGACAGTTGAAATACTGGATGATACTAGAATTCAGATCCTTCAGTCATTTACTGCAGCTGAAGCAGAAGTAAGTCTCTCTTTTCTTATTTATTGACATAAACCTAAATGGTGGTTTCTTTCTTTCATGTCTCAATTTTCCTTTCAGGGTCATGCATTTAAAAAGGCGGTGTTAGCAATTTATGTCTGTGGAAATGTGACGTTCCTCATCATATTCTTATCTGCAATCAATCAGTTATGAGCAGGCCAAGAACTTGGCTTTTGCAGACCAGGTGATAATTATCATCAAGCTAAAGAAACTTGAAACTTGCACTGACTGCCTCCTTGCACTGACTGCCTCGAGCGTATTCTTGAATTCTAACTCAGAAGATGAGGGTCATGTTTATGGAAGAATTCTGGTCTGGTCTTTAGAGAGCAGCATTCAACAGCTCTTGTGGATTAGAAGCTCCTGTCAAGCCTTACTGTGTAATTCTGGGTCTTAAAGGGAATGATGCGCTTGTGAAGTTTCTCTTAAATATTTCCTCTGCTAAGTTTTAAGAATGCTAGCATTTAAGAAAATAAACAAGAACCTTTTAGAAAACAAAACAACTAAATATGTCATCAGGATGAAAAGGATATTGTATTAAGGTAAATATATTTTAGATTACAAAGGTGCTGTGGTACTTTAAAGTGGACACTATTTTTACTACTTTATTTAAATGGCTTTTCTTAGGACTTTATGAGAAACCATGTTTTTCAGTCTAATTTTTTGAACATGTCATTTGCTCTGTGTATGTTGTTACTTCTTGGGTAAAGGTGGAGGTGGAACAGACACCATTGTGGGTTTCATTAACATTTAAGTATATTATAAATACTATAATTTATTTCTTAGAAATGAAATGAAAATATTCATCTTCTGCTTGAGACCGTCTTTATATATATTCATTTACAGACCTGAAATGGCATTTTATATGTTAATTTTCTTTATTATAAGATTTAAATCCTATAGCATATGGAGATTGTAGATTTACATTTCAAAATAAATAAAATTCACCCTTATAAACACCTCTAAGTTATTCTTATTCCTTACAGAAATAAAATGGGTAGTTCTGCTTTGTTAGAAGTCCCTGATGTTCTTATGAATCAAAGTAATCATGTTATTTTCCTTTGTATCCCAAAAATTTATCTTATTTTTGTGGCCAGGTCTCATAGTTGCTATGAGGACTTCTAGCCAATGGGTGGCGCTATAATACCGAAGTAACAACTGCTTTGTTCCCGTTTCCTTGTGATTTATTTTTAGTACTTAGATAACATCATAGCATTTCTCTTAAATTCCCTTAATTTCCACCAATTCTTCTTTGTCTTCATTTGAAAATTTTCTACATTATTTTATTTTTGAGTCAGAGATACAGAGTAGAAATTCAAATTAGGGACCAGAGTTGTTATTTTCTGGTTACATTTTTATTGTATATTTGTTTGTTTTCTAATCATGATCATTTATAACAATTTTTTTGATATTTTACTTTATCTTCCTCTGACCTTGTAACAAATGAATACAACTAAATTACGGGAAGGAAACAGCAAACCTGAACATTCCTAAAAGATAACAGTTTAGGGAGTCATACTTGACTATTCCTTAAATGTTCTTCCTGATTATAGGTTATTACAGTTTCTGTTTGACCCAAGGGCCTAATTTCTATTTGTTGTAAATAATAGTCTCAGCTATGTATCCTGCATTGTTTATTGAATAAAATGATATGCAATTTTTGTTTTTGTTTCTTATGTAGGCATTTATAATACGAAGTTTAGGATTTATATGTATAGTTCCTATACTATATTTTATAAGTGCCAGGGTTTTCTTCTTTCTGTCTAAATTTTCCTTTTGATTGTTTTTATTTAAAAAACACTTACTATTGCAAATTGACTGTATACTAAAATATTTTCTTCCAGTTTCTCATGTTAATGGGCTTAAAGGTTAATAAATTTTTCTTAATCATATTATCTATCTGTCAAGAACAAATTCTTTTAAGGGAAAGATAAGCCTTGGTAGGTTTGATTTTCAAAATATGTGCGCTTCCTGGATTTCCAGTGCTGAAGCTAATGTGTTTTGACTTTTTCCCTAATTCATCTGTTGGCACTCCTTTTTTTTTTTTTCCTTTCCAACAATTATTTTTATTGTTAAGTATATACACAGCAAAAGTAAACCAATTCAACAATTTCTACATGTATAATTCATTGACATTGATTATATTCTTCAAGTTGTATAACCATTCTCACCCTCATTTTCTGGGTTGTTCCTCCCTCATTAACATAAACCCACTGACCCCTGAGGTTCCTATCTAATCTTTTGAGTTTCTATTGTCAGTTTGATCCCATATGGATAGTTCTTAAAAGAGCAGTTGCTCAAGGCAGACATTTTGTTCTAGTTAAACTAAACTGTTGTTTGGTTTTAAGGAGACTTCAAGGGGATATTTTTGAGTTAAGATTAAAGATTATCTAGGGACAATACTTTTGGGGGTTCATCAAAGATTCATGGCTCCAGAAAGACTATAGTTCAGGATCATTTGAAATTCTGTCCTGCATTATTCCTCCTTTGAACAGGATTCTTCTATGGAATCTTTGATCAAAGGCATCATCCAGTCCTTCTGGTCTGAAGGCAAAGGAGGTGGTTGTTCATGGAGGCAATTAGTCCCATATTTCATTTCCTTCTCCTGTTCCTGATTCTCCTTTTCCTCCATTGCTCCTGGCAAGTGGAGACCAATTTTATACCTTGGATGGCTGTTTGCAGTGAAATGGGAGCTAGAATAAAAAATAAAATAAATAAAGAATAAAAAAAAAAAACCAAACTCACTGCTGTCTACTTGATTCAACTCATAGTGACTCTTCCTTGGGTTTCTGAGGCAGTATCTCTATGGAACTAGTCTGCCCAACCTTCCTTTCGAAGAGTGGCTGGTGGGTTTGAACCACCAGCTTTCTGGTTAGCTGTCAAATGCCTCAGGCACTAAAAGCACTAAACATGCTATAAGGCCCATTAACTGGGATGTCCCATGAAATCATGACCCTAAATCTCCAAACCAAGAAACCAAATTACATGAGGTGTTTGGTTGTATGTAAGTAGCCTCAGTAGCTTTTCTTTGTTGTCATTATAAATGTATCTATCAAACAACTTTTGCCAATTCAACCTTTTACAGGTGTACAACTTATTGACAGCAATTATGTCAATTATCTGTGGTATCCTACCTTTAAATGTGATTTTTCCGTCACTGGAAACTGAAATTCAGTGCTCCATAAGCAATAACCACCCTTTTCCCTTCCTCTTGGCTTGGTAACTACTAATAAACTTTGGTCATTTGCCTGTTCTTGTCCTTTTATACAAGTGAGAGTACTCTTTTGATGTATCATTAATTGACATAGAGAGTTGTCAAAAGAAGTCTTTTTGTCAGTTAGTCTTAATGGACCAAACCTTTTCGTTAGGACTAAACTATGATTTGTGTTTATTAGTGGTTGAGAGCCACAAATTGCGTAGTGCCTAAGACACCTGACTGCTAACCAGAAGGCTGGAAGTTCAAACCCACAGCCACTCCTCAGAAGGAAGGTTGGGCAATCTACTTCCGTAGTGATACTGCCTCGGAAACCCAAGAAGGGGTTGCTATGAGTCAGGTCTGACTCGACGGCACAATAACAACAACAACAACAACAACAACATGGCATTTATTTGACTGCTAATCAGAAAGTTGGCGGTTCAAATCCACCAGCCACTCCGTGGAAGGGAAGGCTGGGCAGTCTACTTCTGTAAAGATTTATTGCCTCGGAAACCCAAAGAGGGTCGCTATGAGTTGGAGTTGATTGGACGGCAGTGAGTTTGGTTTCTGGTTTATTCTTCTTTCTTCTCAGTTTTTCTACTTGCTTATTTCATAACCAATTTGTGTGTTTTTAAAATTTCTTTTGGTGGGATTCATTGTTCAACTAAATGTCTTTATGTCTTTAACAGTGTTGCCAATAACGATAAGAAATATCATGAGTTTTTTTCTTACAAAAAGGAATCCTTTATGAAACAAATATAAGTATGTTTTTCAAAAATAAGAAAAATTGTGGAAAATTGGTTGGGGTAACATTCATAACTGAGGCTCTTTTGATCCTTTGATTTTTTTTTATTGTTTTGTGGTCTTTGGAATTCAATCTTAACAGCATATGTAGCCTATAGCCTAAGTTATCAAATAACAAACAAACAAAGTCACTGCCATCAAGTCTCACAGAGAACCCTCCTTGGGTTTCTGAGGCAGTATCTCTACAGAAGTAGATGGCCCAATCTTCCTTCCAAGGAGTGGCTGGTGGGTTTGAACTGTCAGCCTTCTGGTTAGCAGTCAGATGCCTTAAGCACTACACCACCAGAGCTCCTAATACGTGAGTCAATTCATTTTAATTCTTATTTGGTTTTATCAAGATGTTAAAACTCCTCCAGATTGTGTTTTGTTATTCTCTTGTTGGATTGGTTCTAATGTGTGTTAAGTGTTACACACATCCCCTCTCCCATATCCTCCTGCTCCTCTCCAAGAAGCACGGGGAAAAGGGACATGCAGCATGTGCCAACTAGGAAGCTCCAGGGGCACATGTTGCTTTTGGCTAATGTTCTATTTATCTGTGCACTCTGGTGAAACTGGAAAAAAAAAGAACAGAGATCCTTGTTGAAGATAATCCATTATAGTTAGGGATGAAAGAATGGATTCTTCTCAGTTCTTTTCAAATCAGATTAGGATACACCATGTTCTGCCCACATCCTGCTGCTTTCTTCCCTGTCCATCCTTTCCTGGCTCATCTCTGCACCTAGGTCATTGCTGGTCACCTGCTTGGTATGTCCTACCTGCAGCTCTCTTCTTAGAGGTTTCTTTTCAAGTTCTGGTTCCTTCTCCTTGAAGTCTTTCTTGACTGGATCCAACAGGTTTTCTCCTTATCCTGATCATCTTTGTAATTGGGGTGGGGGTGGAGTGGGAGGCAGCTGATCCTTTAAATAAAAAATCCTGGGATTTTTAGAGTAGAGTTGCAAGGCCTGGATATGCTTATCTGCTTGTTCATTTATAAGCTGCATGCCCTTGGGCAAATCACTTATTTTCCCTGAGCCTTTTCCTTCATCAGTAAAGCCCATCTCACAAGATAGTCGCTAGAATTGAATGTGAGGCTAGCAAAAGGTGTTTTATATGAGTTGAAACCTGCTTGGATCACGTTCTTTGGCATATGATCACAATGTTAAAGTTCAATTATTTT